GAGGGGGGGTCGATCCATCCCCCCCATTTCCAAATCTGACCACATTTCATTTTTCCGAATCTGGTTTGTCCCAAGTTCATTTATCAAGTTCAAAGGCTGATCTTGCCCGTCCAAAGGTCCCTCCATCTCTGAAGCCTCCGTCACTACAGCAGGTTCATATGCTTGTATAGCCTTTAACTGAATTTCATTTGTTTGCTGCTGTGCTCTGGTAACTTCCATCATCAAGGTCGTCTCCTGACGCATCTGGTCCAGCTGGGCACTTAGTTTTGAAAAACCTTCCAGGAACAATTGTTCAAGCCTTTGTACTAGCATTGTCCTTCAAGGTCAAAGAAAATTCTTTCCCACGAGAATAGTCCAATAGTCCTTTTCTTTTAATCTCTCTGCGTTGCAATTTCACTAAATTCCACTAGATGGAATTTTTTTTTTTTTTTTAAAGAATAAAAGCAACAGCAACAATCTTTCTTTTTCCAGAAACACTTTATCCAAAATTCCCCCTTCCAAATTCAAGAGGCAACAGTAGAATCAAAATGTTACCCTTCTTTTAACTAACTGTCGAGCTGGATAAACTTCAGAACGTCAATTCTGGCAGCCCGCTCCTGGTTCAGGAGGGTGGAAAATTGCTTTATTTTAAACTCACTTCCGCAGGATTGAAAAGTCCAAATACAACCCCCTTCTTCTCCTGCAGTCAAAGGGGTTCAGAAATCTTAGATGTTGAATTCTAGTTCTCTTAGAATTTAATTTTCAAGCTTTAGTATATTTTGTCTTTGCTTTCTTCACATAACAAAAGAACGGAAGGCGACTTCCTGTTTAGACCTTCCCATTCCGAGTCCCAATTAAGTTCAATTTCAAGTCCAATATTATTTGTTTATTCACCAGTCTTAAAAGTGGTTCAACTCTTCCAAGATCAGGTACTCACGGATAGATATTTTAGATGCCAAATTGTCCAGGAAAAGGCAGCGCTCTCCGATAACGGCAGTGCGGCTTTGCTGCACGGAGGAAGCAGACGACGCACAGCACCACGCACCTCCCACTCCGGGCCCGTTGCCGGGCTCCTGTACAAGGGAGAGAGCGCTCTCGGTGCCCGCCGAGTCCCACGTCCACAGGCTTCTTCCGCCTGTGGTTTTTGCGGGTCCCCGCTGCGCCGTAGCGGCAGGACCCAAGCCTCCGTGCAGCGGGTTCCCTTCAGTCCGAAGGGAATTCCGCCATTTTCCGGAGGCGCCACCCCGGAAGTTCTGAAAATGTAACTCCTGTCCATGTTTGTAGTAACAGCACAGTTATTCATTAATGAAATTTTTTATATCATGCTTTCCACGAGACAATGTACCAGAAAAGGTAAACTCCTAATTTTATGGTCTATCTTCATAGGCTATTCAGCTGACAGTCAAGATTTGTTTTTATCATCTTGTATAATGGCCAGTATATTGGTGCTTGCAAGCATCATGGCAATGTTTCAAACCTGAGATTCTTAGGCCCCCATGAATTTGATTCCCTATTTCTAATTCTTGATTTCTTGCCCTATGACATCCTTTATTCTTCTCTTTTGCTATTTAGGCAATTCTCTAAAGTATATTGTTTTGCGGGGAACCATAGAGATATGGCCATTTTCACTACAGCGATCCTTCCCAACCATTTTTCACAAATTCTGAGGCAGAACTGGGTTGTAAATTTTAAATAACAACATTGCTGTGCCTGCCCAGTTGGATCAGGGCTGAGACACAGAGCCCTGGAACTGTTCTTTACGATAAAGGAATGCTAGAATACCAGAATAAACAACCAGGCCAGAAATGAAGGTTCAAAACTTTATGTGCCACAAGGGCTCTCCAGCTCTCTCCTGCCATTTCTGGATTTGAATTAAAATATTTATTTATTTCCTACCACCATATAGCCGCTCTGAGCCCGGCCTTGGCTGGGGAGGGCGGGGTATAAATAAAAATTTATTATTATTATTATTATTATTATTATTATTATTATATGTGTACATGGTCGCAAGTGGGTTGCTTGTGTGTAAGTGGGGGGGGGAGAACGCCTGTATAATACAGAATAAATATATCATAAGGGTATCTAAGAAACACTAACACATCAGGTTGTCAAATACATATGCTGTCCCTAGTGTTTCTGCTTGTTAGGGCTGCCAATCTACTACAATCTTGTTTGAAAATACAACATGAATTTTAATCATGGCATAGTTCCATTTGACCATTTATATAGCTTTTCTTTCTTTGCTTGTTAGATGTTTGTAATTTTCAGATTTTAGGAATGATCACTCCAATACATTTTAGGGAAGGTGCCCATTTTAAAACCCAATGATTCCTGTAACTTTTTACCATCGGGATTCATATTAAAGTGAAGAACTCCGGATATTTTAAAATTAATTTGCTAATTTTGTTGTGTACCTATTGTTTCCTCAGGGATACCAATCTTTTTATTTGTCAGGTTTATTCTAACCCCTTTGCTAGAGGTTCTTTAGCCAGGACAAATAATGAGGGGGGAGCCTTTTTTTGCTGCCCCATTCGACACATTCAATTCCTCTAATCTTCAAACACCACTTTCCATTCTGATTCAAGCACTCATCAGATACACAAACTAATTGCTGATATCCGCTCTTTCAACAATTCAAATTAACATTTCCATTCCAATTTATCAAGCACCTTAATGGCATCCCAAGGGAGTATTGCTAATGGTTGTTTGTATATTTCCTTGTATTAAGTTGTCTTCAGATAGGCTGTTTATCTTTTCCTTACAAACCATACATGATCTTTGTGCATGTAATTAGAGGCTATATTTACCAATTGTTCCACTAGGAGGCTAGTAAAACATGGAAGTGAAGTTGTTACCAGGGAGATAGGGCGATAAAATTCCACTACTTAATTATCTTTATTGGCTTTCACTAAGACTATAATCCTCGTTCGTATCCGAGAACTAATAACTGATCCCCCTTCTTTTATTTTATTAAGTAATTTGGCTAGAAGAGAGCTTACATACTTACTAAATATTTTGTAAAAAAAACCTACTTAGGTATGTGCCCAATCCTGGCACGGTATTCACTTGAACGTTCTTTTATTACCAAGGAACTACATGTGACATTCCAAGGGGGGACCTATTGGGTTGTTGTTTTTATTTTTATTATGTATTTTGTGGTTTTATATATTGATCTTATTCTGTGAACCACCCTGAGGCCCCCGGGTATAGAGTGGTATATAAATTCAATAAAAATAATAATAAAAATAATAAGATAACCTTGCAAAAGTACAATAGGTATTGTGAGAAGAGAAGAAGAAGAAGAAGAAGAAGAAGAAGAAAACCATCTTGGGGGAGCAGCACATTGAATGCCCCATGATCTGTGGGCTCAGGCCAGAGGATATACCTCAAGTTTATTCTCTTATCCAAACATAAGCATGTTCAAACATAACCCATCGAGAGAAACGACGTCAAACCAAAAGCACTTTGTGGACTAAATACTTTTCACCAGTGCTGGCAGGTTGGTCTTTCTAAAGCAGCAAAATGAAACATGAATCCTAAGATTGTGATGTACTTTGATTGAAGAAATTAATTTTAAGCACAGAATAAACACCATGAAAATACTGTGCCTCTCTGTCAAGAACAATATGACCTAAAATTGTGCAAGAAGACTAAGCTTTGCAACGAATTTTTTGTTGGGTGTGTTACATTTTCTGTTTTTCTTCACTTAAAATATTTTTACAATCCTGCTTAGTTTGATTTGCATTGCTACATAGAATGCTTTTTCATGCAGGTTTAATTTCTTTCTAGAATCCCTGTGATATTTATTTGTTGAATTTATATCCTGCCCTGCCTTGCAAAGTGGTATTTGTTTTGTGGAGGAATGATCCAAATTTAAGAGTGTTTTATGAAAAACCACAAAATTCATACAACAATAAAGATTGTTGATGGGAACGGCATGTATGCAGCTTGTGGGTATTCCTTGATCTAGCTTTATTAATTTATTAAAACATTTCTATCCTGCCCTGTATAATTTATTAAAATGTTTCTATCCTGCCCTCTCTAATATGACCCACCAAATGTTGAACTCCCAATTTCCACCATCCCTGACCATGACTATTGGCCATGAGATCTGAAAATTAAGAGGATCTCACTTACAGCCCATCATTTCCAGGAGACCACAGCTTCCGATCTGTACATTATACATATTTAGCACACATATTTAGCGGTACAGCCTCTTTAATTCACTTAGGTCAGCAAAAAGCCTTTAGGGGTTCTGCGACTGGATACTAAGCTGTTTCTAAGGACATACACCTTAACCACTTGCTTTGTACAATACCTTTGGTAATAGCAAAATGCAGAATTGTATTATATGGGGAAAAAAACCACGTATTCATTATTAATACATTATAAATTAAAAATGTGGCCACAAACAGATCCAAACAGACAGCATTTTGCTGAGAGCCGCTAAAGGATCAGGCATGCGCTAGATATGGCTTTTACTGTTAATGAAATTCAGAGGGCACTTATTTTAGCAGAATGCCATTTGTTCGGGATTATTGCAATGATCTTTGGTTTTAAGGGAATAAACATTACATACTGGACCAGCTGAATTCGGGAGTCCCAAACTAAATTTAAAGAAATGAACATGTTCTCTCTGCTCCACCCCCACCCCCTTTTCAAACTGTGATGTGAAGCACAAAAGTAGAAAGATAAATAAAACGGGCGCAAAAAAATAGAACAGGAAAGCTTTATATTTTGGAACTGTGAGCAATAGTAACATGGTCAAAATCCCCAGTCAGCCCCATCCTATAAATGTTTACTCAGGTGTAAGTCCCACAGAGGTCCAATGTGGTTTACTCTCAAGTAAGTAGACACAGGCTTGCAGCCTAAGCCATGTTTCCCTTCAACAAATCTGACAGAGAAGATGTAAGGAAAGCGAAAGGCCTGCCTTTCTTTCAAGCTGATTCTTCCAGGCGGGAAATATTGGAAGAGAAACTCCTCAACTACAACGGCCATCTTCTACCCACTTTTTTGGGGGGAAGTCCCACTAAGAATTACTCCCAAGTAAAAGACGCTAAAAACATGAAGGAAAAATGGGTCACTTTTGGGGGGGGGGAACCAACTTTTTTTGTCATTCCTGTCAGGTTTTATGATTCATGGGGGGGGGGTTCGTAATAGAAAAATAAAATTTGTGTTTAAAAACAACTACATAGAAACCAGGTGCTTAATTGTCACAACTTTTCTCTTTGTGAGGAAAGAGGGAAGATTACCCTCCACACACACCCCCATGATGGTGCTTGTGCTTAATTTTTTTCCGAACAGAAGGGGGGGGGGGGACAAGAGCTTCATTTCACATGTTAACCTGAATTTGAGCCCCACTGAGTTAAATAGGATTAACTCCCATGTAACTGTGTACAGGATTGCAGCTTAGGGCGAAGTCCCCATTTTCTGTCCCTCCTCCTGTGTCGCCAAACACCTCACGGCGTTTTCCCGCCTAAATGAGTCCTCATGCTGGAGGCAGCAGAAACACAGAGAAATAATAATCCGAGCAGTCATTGCTTGGAGACGGATCTTCCGGATGCTTTTATGTCGTTCCCCCCCCTTTCCTTTTTTTATTTTGGCTTCCACTTAGGAAGTAATAAAATCCCTCTTTTTCCTGACCCCCTCAGGGTGGACAAGGTGTTGCTCGACCAGAGCTAGCGGTGCCATCTTGCATTTCTGGCTATTGTTTTCTATGAAAGGTCATAATTTCCAGTCTTGGGGAGGACGGGGTTCAAGGGTCTGAAGGAACATAAAAGTTGGAAGCTTTTTTGTAAGTCCGACGTAAAGTTTGTCTGTGTCCAGAAAGGGCAAGGCCGCCTCAGAGTACACATGGTTTCTAAAAGCCACAATTCTTGTACACCGCAACACCAGGATTACCTGTGCACTTCTAGATATTTATCTCTAACCAACTCCGCTTGTATAAGTATGCTCAGAGACTATATAAATAACCAAGCAAACTCGAAATTATAATAGCACCTCAATTTTGAACCATCGGCATGTAGACTTTTGTGTATAAAAAGGGAAGGGATAGTTTAGTTCCAAAGTAATGCAATCTCAATTTCTATGCACACAAATATGCAAAAAGAATCACATTACATGAAAAAAAGATTAGTCCACAAACTAATATGGGGGGGGGCATCTTCATGGTACATTTATATTACTCAGGAATTTATTTATTTTTTATATTACTCAGGAACTGTCACAATTGGGGGGGGGGGGATCATGCTCCAAATCTCTTAGCCTCATCTGCCAAGAAGTGATCACAATAAATTGCTATGATGCCTGAAAAGGTTATTTATTGCGGGTTCCTCCTCACAATCTGTCCACTGAGTTTGGGGTTTTTTGAGGGGGATTGAGTTTCATTCTTGTTCTGTTCTTGCTTCAGAGGCTGCACCATTGCCCTTATAGAAGTAAAACATGGTGAAACTGAATTCCTCAATTCTGAGGCAGAGAAGGAGCTGGCTGAGGAGGCAGCTGGTTTAAATTGCCCCAGGTTCTGCAACAAGAGGCTTGCCATACATCAGGAAAATTCCTGCCATGTCCTGGTTTTGGGGCATAAAAATGGCGTCGGGGGGGGGCGGGCAATTTTGCCAAACTGGCAAAATGTCAGGGAAAACCCAGACGTTTTGTGGCCTTCCTAAAAATTTTTTTTAAAAATAAAGCTCAATAACTTTGCGGGTGTTAGGAATTTTACTTTTTGAAATATGGCCACCCTATGCAACAAGTAGCATTTGCTAACAACAAGAATCTGTGGAAGCCTAGAAAACAGTGAAGGTGTTACAACGAATGCCCCATGGTGGAATTCCCTCCTCCTTGTTCCTTTCTTTCTTATTTTTTTTTACCTCAGCACAGTAACATAACAATGTGGATGTTCTAGAGTTGCCGTATTTCAAAAAGTAAAAATCAGGGCACCCTAAATGTTGTTGAGATTAATTTTTTTAGTAGAAAAATAGTGGTGCAACAACGTTACATTTCGTTTTCAGACAAGCAGTTTACTTTTCAAATGTTATCAGAAGAACCAGAATTCAGGGTCAAATAATTTCACAGAAACCGCTTCTTAAAATGCTATCGGAATATTAATGCTTAATTAATTAATTAAATTCATTTATAACCAATGAGCTAGGTCAGGACTGAGGCAGTAGTCCTAAACACAATTACTAGGGAGTAAGCCCCATTAAAAGAAAATGAAGCTTACTTCCATTAACACACATAAGATTGTGCTTCAGATCAGTTGCGCCTATGTGCCATTGCAATCGATGTGAAAAATTAGTCCCCGCTAACTTGCCCGATTGAATTGAACAGGAACTAAGTGCAACACACTTACTCTGAATCCAACCCAGTATGGTTTTAATATGTCTTGCTTGAAGTTATTACAGTACAATGACATTTTATTTCGTTGTAGAATGCATGCCTCAGCCAGTCAATGCAATTAAATGTTTTTTTAATGTCTTTTTTTAAGAAGCAAAACAAAACTGCAGAGAGGAAGGACCAAAAGTTTGCAGTGACTGAAGAGAAATAGCACCGTTATTCCTGCACTCTTGATTTGTGTGAAAGGTTACGTATTTAAAACATTTTTATACTATTCTTCAACATTAGTGCCATGAAAGCTACTCTAGGATGTTCTGAAGCCAGCTAAAAAGTCCTCTCTTCCATTGCTGAGTACTGCACCCCTGATAGAGGAAGTATCTGAAATAGGACTTTCTGAAGGTATCTGAAACAGAGACCTTCTGTTAGTCTCAAAATGTGGGTTAGATTAGCATGGGAAGAAGCACACTTTCAGGTTTCATAAGTAGGGACACATGATGGAGTATGCAGGGAATGGCTAAAAGCGCTATCAGCCGGAAGGCCCATTTGAATTAAGCAAATATACTTGGGGCTGTTTTCAGAAAGTGGTTAACAGTGCCCATTGTGTGCTGGTGATGTTCTCAACCCACAGTGACCAAGAGCTATTAGCTACCATCTACATGGGGTATAGGGACGTGGTTGGTGCTGTGGGTTAAACCACAGAGCCTAGGGCTTGCCGATCAGAAGTCTGGTGGTTCGAATCCCCGCGACGGGGTGAGCTCCCGTTGCTCGGTCCCTGCTCCTGCCAACCTAGCAGTTCGAAAGCATGTCAAAGTGCGAGTAGATAAGTAGGTACTGCTCCGGCGGGACGGGAAGGTAAACGGCATTTCTGTGCGCTGCTCTGGTTCGCCAGAAGTGGCTTAGTCATGCTGGCCACATGACCCGGAAGCTGTATGCCGGCTCCCTCGGCCAATAAAGCGAGATGAGGCCGCAACCCCAGAGTCAGTCACGACTGGACCTAATGGTCAGGGGTCCCTTTACCTTTACCTTTACATGTGGTATGCAGTTCTAGCCCACTCCATGTTATTGTAGTAGGTATACCGATCAGTAATGGAAAGACTCTCTTCCATTTTTATTGCAAAATGGGAACTATGTGTGGCCTTCTCTGGTGGAATCCACACACATATAAAAAACGCCGTGGACATGCTTAAAAAAAAAAGTTTTGAAAAACGCATTGAATTTTGCGTAGCTCACCGACGCCATCTAGTGTCACATTTGTATACTGCACTTTACAACACATTTAAAACGTTTTATTTGCAGCTGTGTCCTTTGTTTATTGCCAAAACTATGGCTTTCTCCACATTAGAGAGTACTCTGGGATATCCCTCACTCCAAACTTAAATTAACAAGATTTTCATGAATAGTCGTGGAACCACTCAGGGCTTTTTTCCGAGAAAAATAGGTGCCAGAACTCACCATGAAGTTGTTACAGTAAGTGTCACACTTTTTAAACCAAAAAAGGAGAGTTGCTGGTACTCACCATGAAGTTGTTACAGTGCCACACTTTTTAACATAAAAAAAAAGATGTGCTGTTACTGTATACCCTTTAGTGCCCCCCTGAAAAAAAGCCCTGGAACTACGGTATATTTCTGTTCTTAAAATGTAAAAAAGTAAACAGAGAAGTAAAGCCTATCATGCTGAATGTCTGAAATACTGATCACTGCTTTTTTTTTTAAAAAAAGAAATAAATCATGCCAATGCTGTGACCCTAAGCAAATTTATGGGGAAATAAGTTTACTTTAAATGTATGGCCTCTTATTCCAAGTAACTATGTTTAGTACTTTTCTTTAAAAGCTCTGTAATTATATTTTTCATCTTTTAATACTCCTATGGTAACTGGAGATCAAATGAAAAGGATGTCATTGCTATTGTCTCATATGGAAAAATGATAAACATGAATAAGAGAGACCATGTTACTCAAAATGCATTTTGTTAAATGTATGTTGCTAATGCTTAAAATACACAAATAGTTTGCATAATTTTAATTATAAGTTGGTTTAATCAGAACAGGTCTCATCAAGTTTTGTTACTCAGAACTGAACATGGAAAGTTTACAAGCACTTCTATCCATATCAGAAGAGATGGAAGAACCATGGCCAAAGAAACTCAAAACAGATAGTCAAGTGAGCTCAAATGAGCAGAGGCAGTTGCTAAAAAGTTTATGCTATGCAGATAAGAAATCACCAAACACACATCTAGGTTTTCCTGAAGGATCTTGGGATTTTAGTCAAAACGATTTGGAACTGCAAGAGAAAAATAGCACAAAAACCAACTTAAGACAGTATCTACATTTTAGACTTTGTATGAATGCCCATTTGCATTCCAGATTGATAGGAAATACACCATTCATAGGAAAATGGGCACTTGAAAATGATTACTGTAGCAATTTAAAAGATTCTGGGTCTGAATTTGATGAAAATATTAATTCATTGGTCACAAAACCTAAGCCTTGGACCATTTTTGCTAAAGAAAAAGAAAAATCAATAGACAGTGGCAACATTTCAAAGGAGATTGAGTTACCATCAGTAAATATAGTTTCTTACGACATCTTGGCAGAAAATATTGTTGCAAGACTAGAATATTTACTTACAGATGTGCCAGCATTTCAAACTAATGAAAATGGCACAGGTTGTCATCATGTACATGGAGAAAAAAACCATATTCCCAAACCAGTTGCAGATGGTGGAAGCATCAGTGACAAAATCCCACTGCTATGTTTGTTAGGTGGCAATTTTATGAAAGGAAGAAAATCAAACATTGGATCGTTCTTATATGAATATAAAAATGTTGTGGGTGAGGATGAAAATATTATATTCCGCAAAAAGCAAAAAAATGCCTTGGCAAAGAATAACTTAAGAAGGAACAAAGTATATAAGCACATGTTTATATCTTATTCAAGAAGCTGTGGAGTTGTAAATAGCAAATTAGTAAAACGTGCTGCTTTTGGGTTATTTTTACATGATTGCAGCACTGCAGTTGAAAAGAATGCCTCACTATTCAGTCATTTTTTTCTGCTCAATACCCAACAAAGGGAAATATCCAATGGCACCAGTACCATGGAACACTTCGAATTTTCCAGATATACTATAGAAGATGGTAGCTTTTCAGTAGTTTGTAATGAAAAAGAACAAATGGCAAGGCAACTTGTAATTTCTAACAAACACATTTCCCCAGAGAATGTTTTTCACAGCTCTGCTTTATGGGGGGGAAGGTTGTGTAGTCCTACAGTGCACAACCTGTCAGCAAACTTCAGACTATTTAACTATTTGACTTCAGCTCCACTCAAATTTGGGAAGTGCAGTATTCAACAATCAAATCTTCCAATGGTGAGTACAATGGAACCAAATATACAAAAGAGAACTGGAAAATTCTTCAATGAAAACAATGCTTTTCCTGTTAAAAAATTTAAAGCTTCTCATTTTATTCCAAGAGTACATAACAAAGCACAAACAAGCAAAAGCAAATGTGTCCCAGAATATATAAGAACTTGTAGCAGAGCTATGTTGAACAAAACAAGGATTGGTAATTGTGAAGACTGTGGTTCTACTGAAATGAAAGTCAATTTTTATCCATTTGACACATATAAACAAATTTGCCTCAGTACTGATTCAGAGGAAATTTCATTTATAGGAAATGTGATCTTTAATGTTGAAAATAATAAAAAAGATAGCAAAGGATATTTTGTTCCTGATAAAAGAATAATTTGCAGTGGCTCTGATACATTGACTTCTAATTGTGTTCTCCCTCAGTTATATACAATTTGCAATCCTTTTTTGGAACAGAAAAGCAAAAGTAAAAAGTCTAAGTATCCCAAAGATATAAACAACAATAGTCAAAGGCACACATGTGAAGACAACAACATGCACTTCCATATTAATGGCCTTAATCCTGGAAATGTACTTAAATATAATGGTGACCAGTATTTTACTTCAACTGGTTCTTATGATATTTGCATAGATCAAAATAGACCAGTGAGTGTCAAAGCTCAGCGTTACAAGATTTCCCGGCATGGAAAAAGAAGAAAACTAAGTGGCTTTGTATTTGAAAATAATAATAGTGTTTTACCATACTACCCTGTTTGTAGTTCTAGAACCTCTAAGAACTTGAAACATCCTATAGTTAAAAAAGTAGAAAATCTGAATTTATTGCTTCAAAAAAGTATTTTACTAAACAGCCCACATAATCCAGAGCTAGCGTCTGTGAAACAAAATGCCAAAGATGTGGATAAGAAAGAAAATTCAACTTTTGAGCAGAGTTATGTAAGCAAAAGAAATCAACCTCAGAATATAACTACGCTATGTTTCAATTATGGATGTGGGGAAAGGGTTAGTTCTAAAGACACATTAACAATGACTTCATGCACAATGAAACAAGGCCATTTTGAAGATGCCACAGAAAAGCATTTATCTTCTGAAATTAAAAGCAGACACGAGTTTGAACTGAAAAATCAATTTGATCTGGTACTGGAAGAGCTTTTCATGTTTAATGAAATTAGTAAGGAAAATGTGGAAAAAGAAATGTGGAAATGTGGGGAAAGAAATTTTTTGGAGAAAGATCCCCTTGTCTTTAATCATTCTGGCAGCATGCTAGATGAAGACTCCAGAAATATTTTTGAAAATAAAGCGAATGCGACCTTCACCACTACTGGTAGTACTGTGAACAGTACTATTGTAAAGCATACAACTGGGATGAAGCCAACTAAGGATGAACAAAGTTTATTTAAGAACACAGTGATAAAAAGTCCTGGGGAGCAAGAAGTACCACATGACCACTGTCCTTCGAGTGTAACAGATGAAGAAATGTTCTATGCACCCTCTCAAGGTAACTATATTATTATGCAGTATGATCACATAGTTGAATTGGCCTTCTGTTGCATGTGAATCAAGAGGAAAAGGATGTGTCAGACCTTTCTGAATTTGCTAATACAGATTGCATTTTCAAGGTAACTAGTAGGGCTGGTTCAGGCTTGAGGGGCTTTGGTGGGACCCATTCTCTATTGGTCCAGGCGAACTTACCGGGCAGAAGTGACAGCTGGCAGCAGTGTCACGTGGCTGAAGGACACCATTTAAGATTTCAACAGTGTCACAGAATGACACTAAAGTTGCATTCCCATCCAAACTTACTTGGGAGTAATTCAGTAGTCCTTACTTCTGAGTAGATATGGTAAATATAGGGGAATGAAGTGTAGGCATCAGGAGTGGTCCGGGTCAGGGTACTGGGGGAGAAGCTGTCCGGGGATTCAATGTGCTGTTTCTGGTCATGATAACTGGTTAAAGGCATCAAAAGGTTATCTAGCAGATTATCTAGCATCTGTTTTCAACTTTAGCATCAGTTCAACTTTAAAAAATAAATATAATACTAATTGTGAGTTTATTTTTTACATTTAAGAACATGGCGATTCTCCTTGTAAACAACCTTTCACTTGGAGCCCAGCATTTGTGTCTCATACATTTATGGAAGAAAGAAGCTGCAATTTAAGAAATGAAAGAGGTAAATTATTCTGATTTTAGTTATTTACCATAGAAAAGTTGTTACCTTATATTTATTTTTCAATGTAAATCACAGCAAGTAGATGGGTGGGGTATAAATAATAAATTATTATTATTATTATTATTATTATTATTATTATTATTTCAAAAAAGGACAGCCTGGCTAATTATATTCAAAATCATACACAAGCAATAGGCACATTATATGTATAATACGTGTAGAACAGTCAAGCCCTCTGCAGTACTATATTTCCGTAGCACAATTTTGTAAATATAAGTGTTTGTGTACAGTTATATGAATTGCTGCATGAATCTGTTTATGTACCGGCTACTTTAGGAAACTTGGACTGTATATGTGCAATAATATTGTAGATATACTAATGCATATAGTATGTAAGAATTGTATTTATCACCACAATATTAATGTTGGAAATTACAATATCAGTGTTTGATCTAGATAAGAAGATTGTATTATTTCTCTTGGATACTATACAATAGATGCCCATGATGCACACCAAAATGTACATATATTTATTGTTGTGGTGGTATTCACAATTCTGCAGCCTTGATTTGGCTTGGACTAAGAAAAACTTCAAACTCTCATAATGAGAAACTATGGTGAGACAGAGATACACATACAAAGTGTTTTCAGTTTTCATAATGCAGTTTCATATCTTTTTATACAGGAGATTTTTTATTGGATGGAATTGTAAGAGTACAGCCTCTTAAAACATGTCGTGGTCCTTTAAGAGTTGGATTATCAAAGAAAGCTAAGCCAAAACAACTTCATCCATATTTGAAATAGTTCAATATACCATGTTTTAAAAAGCACTTTTGAACCAAAACCATTTACAGTTTTTAGTACATTATATATATGTTATAAATATTTTTGGTTTTAAAGGTTTTAATAATAAAAGTCCTGTACAATGATATACTATGATATGAGTGCTTCATAATGTAGTTTTACAGCATTTATTTTTATAAGGATTCTGTGAAATTTCTAAACTTTCATATTTAATATGATGCAAATTCATTGGATAAATGCATTATCTTTGGTTAAGATATTCTCATTTCTTAAAGTACACTAACAAAAAGTAGCAGCTTATAGCATTTTATTAAATAATCAGCCATTTTTAATTATATAGATCAGCTTTAATGCATTATTGAATACACTGGTCAATAATGATCTAAAGTCATGTCATTCACACAAGGACTTCCTGTGGCACAACATAACTTTTTCTTTTATCCCCATAGCCCCCCATAATCTGCTTTGGAGGGTTGGGGAAGCCCCAGAACAGGTTTTGGGGATGCAGGGGAGGAGGAGAGGTGGGAGAAGCTTTGTTGCATAAGCAGACATCCTTGTGAGAATGAAGTGACTTCACTGGATAAGAACCCATAGCCTTCCTTATTTAATATATTCATGTATTCTTCTTAAGAGAACTTGTGTGCCAGTGTGGTGTAGTGGTTAAGAGCGGTAGTCTCGTAATCTGGGTAACCGGGTTCGCGTCTCCGCTCCTCCACATGCAGCTGCTGGGTGACCTTGGGCCAGTCACACTTCTTTGAAGTCTCTCAGCCCCACTCACCCCACAGAGTGTTTGTTGTGGGGGAGGAAGGGAAAGGAGAATGTTAGCCGCTTTGAGACTCCTGAAGGGGAGTGAAAGGCGGGATATCAAATCCAAACTCTTCTTCTTCTTGTGTCTTGATCAGCACAACACTAGGTTATATGCATGGCTACTGCATATTAGAATCTCTGCACAACTGAATTGTTGTTTGGAGCTACTACCTGTCACAGAGTTGAGAAAGGAAGGGAAAAAAGATTGTATTCACTTTTCCCACTTTTCATATTCTGGCAAATGTTTTAGCGGTGTATTCATATTGAGGGTTTCTCCCCATTTTATAAGAATTCTCATAAAGGTTGTTGTTTGCTCACCTTTGGGTATTACATGAGCTATTATAATCCAAATAAAAGAATATTTCAATTTGGGATGACAGGGTGCTATAGAGTTGTTTTACTGCACATGCCATTAGTATAAGGATCACACATTTAGTTGCATATGTGGCTGACAATTCATGAATATTCAAAGCCAATGACAAATAAAGAGAATTGCTTCCTATTAACAATTAACATTCACATAATGGGCAACCCCATTCCCCTTCCCAGCTGCTGCCAATCTCAGAAACTTAATAGATAGTCTTTTCCCTGCCACAGCATGCCACCAAAGTTGTGTTAACAATTGTATTATCTGTGATAAAATCCTAAAGGCAATTGGGCCAAAGTTAGTTGTGAATGAGTAACTTATTCTGTTGTTTTAAGTGAGGCAGTGCAATCCCATAAATGTATATTCAGAAGTAAGTTGCATTAAACTAAAGGAGACTTACTTCTGAGTAGACATGAATAGGAGTGCACTATTAGGCACAAGTGACTTTAACTAGATGGGAACCAATAACTTCAAACCCAGTTCCAAAACAATCACGTTGTTTGTCTCATTGAAACATAGGAGCTAAATAGTCTTACTTTACCTTGCTTTGTGTTTAAGACCAGTTTACTGAGTGATTCCTAAACACTGGGTCACAGCTAGAGCATGTTATGTAACTTCCAACTGTTAGCACTGGAATTATGATAAACAGTTGATTAATGGTGTCTATGTTCACATGTTTTTTGGAGTTATGGGTGATTCAAAGTAAACATGTTTGTTATTAAGCCCTTTTATAAGCATTTTAGTAGTTATTGCACTAAGTTGATATTGAAATTTCCTATTTACATAAGCATGTTATGTTGAAACTGAGCCTGCAATTATTCATATTACCTAACTCTCTTTTTCAGTCAGATTGACTTATCTTTTAAATAAAACATTAGCAAAAACCAAAATAAAACACAATGGCAAAAAATGGTAACACCAAATAAGACAGCTAATTAAGATCTGAGAGCGAAATAAAGGATTTTAACAATTTAAACTATTCTTTTCTATTTCTTCAGTGTTTTCAAATATCTGTCCTAAGCAAGTCCTAAGCTGTGTAACAGGACTGGAATGTAGAACTTTAATTGCAGATTGAATATCAATTTTAGATAAAGGAGAATTGGATTATGCAAAATTACACCAGCTGCACAAAACAAATTATGCAACGACAAGCTATTTTTGAATCTCTGGACCTTGGCAGGATGTTTCCTTTTGATTTCAACAATGGCATCTGAAACAGAAGAATATAGCAACCCTCTAAACCCTCTATATAAAGCATCTATTATATATTCTGTTCCTCATTAGATTTTATACTAGTAAATTGTGGGTGTAAACTGCTGGCATCAGTGAGAAGAGGGACACAAGACATATACATTATGCTCATTCACTTTGTGGAAAAAAGGCTGAAGATGGAGCTACACACTACACACAAACAGGTGGAGCACAAGCCCAACGGCATTAGGGAAAAACAGCTTTGGAACAGGCTGGGGACAGCAGAAAGGGAGTATGTTTAATCTGTTCCTACAGACCACTTTGCCACAACAAAATCTTCCTTAAACAACTTCCTTTCTGGGTTCCAGGCATTTAATTCTTGCAAACATACACCTGGTACTTTAAGGGGGGGGGGAGGAATACATTGGGGGCATTTTCATTGGAAAAGTGGCAGGAGGAAGGGCTAACCACCAGGGGTAGGCAACCTAAGGCCCAGGGGCTGGATGCGGCCCAATCGCCTTCTAAATCCGGCCTGCGGATGGTCCAGGAATCAGCGAGTTTTTACATGAGTAGAATGTGTGCTTTTATTTAAAATGCATCTCTGGGTTATTTGTGGGGCATAGGAATTCGCTCATCCCCCCCCCCAAAAAAATATAGTCCGGCCCATCACATGGTCTGAGGGACAGTGGACCAGCCCCCTGCTCAAAAAGGTTGCTGACCCCTGGCTACCCATCCTCAGCTGCATTTTAGCTCCAAATTGGCTTGTTATGAGGTTGTTTTTCCTACACAAAACAGCCACTGACGTTGCACCTTGTTGCTCCTCTCTGAATGCTAGGTAGTAAGTTTCTGTTTGGGAACCATTTTTTAAAAAACCTCAACATAATAATTACAAAACACCATTCACATTTTGTGAGTAATGATGGGAGGTTTCCCCTGTTCGAACGAAAAGGTCTATCGAACTGGATTCATTTTTCAGCCATCTGCTAGAGATCCAAAAGTAATCAGATTTAAAATTGGATCAGTTCTGACTGATCTTGACCACTAAACCTGACTGTATTCCTGATTAAATCCACTGGGAATATGACACAGTCAGGAAGCTTCCCTATCACCGACTCATACATTTTGAACCCTCCTCTGCCCTGATCCCTCCTCACTGCCTCTCTTTCCAAATGTACTGAACTCAAGGGACATCAGGGAGAGCTTGGAGGAAGCATACGCCTTCAGCCAGAACACGCACAGCAACATTTGGAAGGGCGGAAGAACAGAAGAAGAGCCTTACTGGATCCGGGGAAAGGCCTGTCTAGGCCAGGATCCTGCTCTTATAGCAGCCAGCCAGATGGGAACTCTGCATGCACGACCAGAGCACAACAGCATTTCTCCCTCTTGCAGTTCCCAGCAACAGGCAATGAAAGGCATATTGCCTTTGACAATTGAGATAGAGCATAGTCAAAGTGGCTAGCAGACATCAATAGCCTCATCTTCCATGAATTTTTCTTATTCTCTTTTAAAACCATCGGTCATGACTACATAGTGTGGCATATATCTTATTGGAAATGGAGCATTTGGCAGGTTTGTTCTGGGCCAGAGACTTTCAGATAAAAGTTCAGACTCTGTTCTAGCTTAGGGGGAAGAAAATACAGCCCGCCCCCAGGTTTTGGTTCAATGTGGCTCCCTAATTATTGTGATAAATACATCTGAAGATTTCATCCTAGTTTTAGATGAAATAGTGCATTTGTAGCATAGCCATACATAAATTAAAATGAATGATGCTTATATTAAATGTTCTCAATGTTGGATGGGTAGTTATATTAAATATTCATATATAATAATTCTGTACATTTCCTTATCTCATAGAAAGAAATATATGAACGAGAATTTAAAATCCTTCTGTCGTATTATGTATACTCTCTCACACACAAAATATTTTAACCAATATTTTTTTAATGGGACTCTTTAAAATTTATGAGTTATTGAGTTATGCGATTTCAATAGCTAGCAGCAGTAATTCTAGATTCATTTTGTATGAATGGTAGCAATTAATAAATTGTTGCAAATTTTTCATAAGAGAGTGATAAAAATGCAGCTTTAAGATTTAACAAGCAATAAATTGTAGCAAATGTCTGCAAAGAGAAATGGGACTGGAATAGATAATGGATCCACTTGAGCTCCTGCTAGGCCAGAAAATGTTACCAAGAAAATCTGCCCATGTAATTGCGGGAAGGAGGCAAATAATAAAGATCAGGGTTAGTTACTAAGATTAAATAATCGTAGCCCATGTGTTTGTAAAGCCAAGCTCTAGAAGAAACTGCAAAACTGTAGAAGAAACTGCAAAATTGCAGGAGAGCTTTTTGGATAAAGAGCAAGATCGTAGACGGAAGCAAATCATTCCATTATCTACCCCTGTAATTGTGTCAAGTGAAAAAATTGTATGAACTTTCTTAGCTATTTGGCAATGGGGAGGGCTCTTTAAAGGGCTATAGTGAGTAAAACTCAAAAAAAGAAGAAGTTGTGAAATAAGAAACTTTCTGAATTGGTCTATCACTCTATATTAAAGGAGTTTAGTAAAATAGCCTTTCAATGAGTTTCCAAATTAAAATTAAATAAGTGATTTCCCCAGTGCAAAATAAATCAAAGCAATTGCAAGGCTATGCTGGTATTTGTAGACATTTGTTTCTACGATGGGGTTTAGAGCCTTAAATGTAAGTTATATGTCTCAAGGACTGTTGTTGGCATGTTCTCCAGATGATATTTTCCAAACTAACCCATTGTAACAGGAGATGCCATATTTGGACACTTAGACCACCTCATGTGTTTTCATGCCCTGTATCTCGGATCAAACTGAATTTCAAACTACTGTACCTTATTTTCTTGTGGAAACATTCTAGAATGGTGTCTCTTTTGGATGTGCCTATACAGTACCGTGTTTGATCAAGTAATTAGGCATGCTGGAGATCATTCAAGCTTCCAGATCAGATCTTAAGTCCTTTCCTTAACGGTGGTGATATTGATTATAGGGGCACTTCCCAGAAACGTGACAAGCTACCAAAAGCAACAGCATAGGGCAAGAATTTCCAGCTGCTGCTATGTAGCATCATCATACCATGTTTGCATTTCTGTTCCCACTCTAAACATTTTATCACCGCTGCCAAGGGATGCTCACAGTAACTATGCATGCCGTTAAATTAATTTTCTGATAGAGGGAGGCTTGTTAATATTCATTCACTGGATTTTTACAAAGGTCAGCATTAAAATAATGTGTCAGGATGGCTGAACAACATAATTTACAAGACGTCACATTTTCATATGAAGAAGGCAGAAGGAAGCTTTTTCTGATAAGGGCAGAAATAGATTATCAGAAAGCAGGAGAGTTGCTGTTCCCGATGACTAGAAGCCAAACTGGAAGAAAAAGAAAGGAAATCTGTGCCAGTGAAGGGAACTCACTAAATATATGGAAGAATAAGACCATTGGCTTTAATATACGCGCTGAAATGCAGGTAATGAATACAAGCTAAGAGTTGCTGGGGAGTGCTTGAATGCTGACCTGAAAAGTGATTAATCTTCTACCCTGGAAGCTTATTTTTCAGCACTGTAGTGCACATACTTATTAAGCAGTGAAAGTTTTGGACTATACTGTATGTCTGACCTTGTAATGTATCACTGCGGTCAAAAAAGTTCATTCACTAAAGCAGATTCTAGCGTAGGCCTTTGGTCACCTCTGCAAGGGAACGCTTTCTGATTTCCAGCTCTTAGGGCAGATGTTTCAAGGCCTCATTAATGCTCTGTGCACAGAAGCCTTTCCAACTGAAATCTGACTTGCTGATCAAACCCTGCGCGTGCTGCAAGTCTAGTTGTTTTAAACAACAAAAGTTGAAATGTTTTAACCCCTTCCTTAGGATCATAGAATTTCAAGGGACCCAAGGGTCATCTAGTCCAACCCCATGCAATGCAGGAACCTCAGCCAAGGCATCCATGACAGATGGCCCCTTAACCTCTGCTGAAAAACCTTCAAGGAAGGAGAGTCCACAAGCCCCATGGTTAGAACTGAGCCTGTGCTATGTGGTATGTTCACAACAAGTGTCAGAATGTTGAGTTTTCTACCTGCATTATATCAACTGCTCAAATGAAACAACAGCAGTCCTCGCTCTGTGCTTGTGACCCATTACAGAGAGAGTTTCTTCATTCACACCAGTGGCAGCCAATGTTATGTGAAATATACTCAGAGTCGCAAAGTGATTTCATGCTCTTATTCAGCTCATAGTGGTGAGGAGGAATGAATGAATGTCCCCTCACAGTATCTGCTTTATATACATTATTTACACAATGGGCTGCACATGATTGGCTAATTCTGGAATTCTACTGTAAGCCAATCAGGTTATGGATTCACTTCTATCTGGAGCAGGATTGGGTGGTTCCTGCCAACCAATCATACTGCTGCATTGTTCTAGGACCAATCAGACTGCTGCATTCTGAATCCTATTGTTCTAGGACCAATCAGACTGCTGCCTTTTGGATCCTATTCAACTCAGTACATAACATTATGTTTGTCAGGGAGTTCACTATTTGATCTGTGCCTGTTCAAGCTGTGACTGCTGCTATACATTGCACAGAAAGGCTGTAAAAAATAAATAAATGTGTGCATTTAAACTATCTGTGCACATGCCCTGATGGTACTTAGCTAGCATGAAATCAGAGCTTTTTTTCAGCCAGAACTTGCCAGAACTCAGTTCCAGCACCTCTCAGGCGGGCGCCATTGCCGTTCTAAAAGAACGAGGGAAGTGTTCATGGTGAGTTCCAGCACCGTTTTTTTCTAGAAAAACAGCACTGCGTAAAAGAACCAACAAATTGGAAAAGTGGGGATGAACAAAACAGAACACCTACTTGCAATAAAAGGGGAGGACTAAACCACCTCCTCAATAACAAATTCTAATGCAAGCGGAAATAGTGGATTAACAGCTAAGTAATACTCAACTGAGGACAAGCCCTGAGTGAATATTGGCCTCCTAGCTACTACAATTTCAATGGGAACATTTTATAAGTGGCAGGCAGAAAATATACTGAAAAATTATCTTCAGTTTTCTGCTTCTCATTTAGATCTCTATCAAGCAACAATATAAAATTGGAAGATCTACCTTGCCACTGTTTCCCACCTTTCTAACTACATAGCAACAGACTTTTTATGTTTCAATAGAAAAGAATGAGAGTAGGTTACATGGCATGGAAAAATTTAGATGAGTACAAACAGTGTATATCTCTAAAATTGTACTAACTTACATTATTATTATTAATTTATTAAATTTACATACCATAGAGCTCAGAGTGGTTCTCAACATAAGAATAAAAAATTTAAAAAAGACAAAATGCATAATAAAAACAAGAACAAACCAACAACCCCCTCACACAACACATTTAAAAGGGCAGCAGATGTCAATCAGCCCAAGGCCCAGTTGAAGAGGAACATTTTCTTTTGGCACCTAAAGATGTACAATGAAGGTGCCAGCTGAAGCTGCTTAGGAAGAGCATTCCACAAATGGGGAGCCATTACAGAAAAGTCCCATTCTCGTGCTGCCACCATCCAGATCTCTTGTGGAGGTGGCAGATGAAAAAGGGCCTCAGATGATGATTGGATCATATGGAGAGAGGTGGTCCTGGTCAAAAAGGAATATTTTGCCCAGATTTGCAGAAGCTAGCTGTCCCAGTTTCTGATTTGATCCTGGAATGTTCTGCTGTTCTTTAGGACCTCCCTATTTTAAATGTTCCCTAATACTGTCATGGAGCATTACCAGCACAGAATGCAGATGCTGATGAGAAAGTCTACTTACATCTCCATCCACTTTCTCTCTCACTCGCTGAATGATCAAACCAAAGGAGATGGCTATGCCTCTAGAGCCCTAGTGACCAAGGAGCCAGCAGAGGGAGGTGTCACAATGAAGGGCGTGTCACAAGGACCTCCGCAACCTAGCAACCACCAGCACTCAACTGGCACTACTCTCAACTGACACTACTAAGTTTCTTATATGGCTTTTAATCCACATTCAGCTTTTTACAAGTATGTAAAATGAAATTTATCCCTTTACATTCAAGCTTCCGTTGTTTCTGCACCTACTGAGCATAAGCCACCTAATCTACCTCTCTGCCTCTTTGGTCCTATATTGATGAACAGTGGAAAACCAGAAATCACCCCGTGTGTATTTATTAATTTTATTACCCCTCTTCACTAGCAGGTCCCAGGTCAAGTTACAGCCATCTAAATTATAATTATTGTTGTTAGTAATTCAATTAGTATACCCCCCCCATACCCATAGATTTCAGGGAGGTTCACAGGATAAGATCACAATATAAAAATACAAAATACACAATAACAACAAAAATAAAAACAACCCAATAACAGGCCCCCGAACACATTTTAAAAGGGCATTGGATGTCAATCATATCGACCAAAGACCTGGTTAAAAAGGAACGTTTTTGCCTGGCGCCTAAAGGTGTACAATGAAGGCGCCAGTTGAACTTCCCTGGGGGGAGCACCCCACAGACGGGGAGCCACTGCAGAGAAGGCCTGCTCTCGTGTTGCCACCCTTCAGACCACTCAAGGAGGAGGTACATGAAGAAGGGCTTTGGAAGATGATCTCAGGGTCTAGTTCATATGGGAAGAGGTGGTCCTTGAGGTATTGTGGTCCTGAGCTGTTTAAGGCTTTATAGTCAAAACCAGCACTTTGAATTGGGCCCAGAAACTAATTGGCAAGCCAGAGCAGTTGGGCCAGGATCAGTGTAATATGCTCAAACTACCTTGCCTTAGTGAGCAACCTGGCTGCCAAATTCTGCTCCAGCTGAAGTGTCCAAACTATCTTAAGAGGCAGCCCAACATGTAACACGTTGCAGTAATCTAACCCAGTGGTTACCATTTTGTTTTAAATTTTACTGCTTAGCTAAAATGTAGGGAACTGTTTCTCTAAACAGTGGAGGAGGTGGAACAGGGGTGAAACTTTTGGCCATAACCATTTTTAATGAAGATGATCCACAACAGAATTCTGTATGCTCCTTCCCGCTTTCGTGTCAAACTGCTTGCCAAGAGAAAAGGATGGAGGATCGTGCTGAGCACTGTTCAATATGAAAACTGATTTTCCCCCTACAATGGGTGGCTTGTATTTTGGCAGGAACTTTTGTGTGCACTCACACAGCTTCTGGCAAGTTGTGTGCTGAAAAGAAAACCCACAAACATCCAGCACAGCGATGCTTTGTTCATTACATGACACCAATCTGCCGAGATATTTTTTTCTGTGGTTGCTAAAGTCAGATTGCTCTTTGATAACACGTTTGTTACTGAGTGTAAAACGAAAAAGGCAGTCTTAAATGATTACTAGGGTTTCAAGATATCACAAATTTTAAGGGATGCTATATTTTATAAATTTTATAGGGACACGGGTGGCGCTGTGGGTTAAACCACAGAGCCTAGGGCTTGCCGATCAGAAGGTCGACGGTTCGAATCCCTGCGACAGGGTGTGCTCCCGTTGCTCAGTCCCTGCTCCTGCCAACCTTGCAGTTCGAAAGCACCTCAAAGTGCAAGTAGATAAATAGGTACCGCTCTGGCGGGAAGGTAAACTGCGTTTCCATGTGCTGCTCTGGTTCGCCAGAAGCGGCTTAGTCATGCTGCCACATGACCCGGAAGCTGTACGCCAGCTCCCTCGGCCAATAAAGCGAGATGAGCGCCACAACCCCAGAGTCGGCCATGACTGGACCTAATGGTCATGGGTCCCTTTACCTTAAATCTGGAAGGGGAAATCTTCATTCTGTAAAAATGCAGGCCAACAGACAGTTGTAACTTGACCTGAAATCTACATGGATGGTGTTTCATAAATTATTATAACCACAGGTAATAGCCAGGTTTTTGCCTGAGATTAGAAATGCATTCAGGATGAAAAGAACGGAAAAGAAATTCATCCATCTTATTTAAGCCTTGTATTCCCATTGATGAATTGGTTATATATTGTTAGCTACAATCCATCAGAGAGCTCCGAGCCCTTTAAATCCACATTGATTTCAGTGAGATTTAAGAGCGCAAAATTGTGGATTGGATCATGATCTCTGGTTTTGTTTTAATTGTTATCTTGCCCTGATGTCAGAACAGTAACATACAACATGGCGAGTTGCAAGATGTATCTTCAATCAAACAAAAAAATAAAACAGAATAGTTTTTCTATTTAAAAAAGCGGCTCATGCATTCAATTTCCTTTATCTTCCTGGCACTGATAGAGTTTGACTCATCAAAGCTTTTCATTTGGGGATATATTGAATTTAAAAAAAACCTTGACATTCACATTTACTTCTGCAAAGCAAACTTCAAGTTTGCTCTCCTTAACATAAGCACAAACCCATTAGCAGGTAGTGTTTAGTTGTGACTTTCTACATCCTGATGCCTTAGTATTGGTGAACAAAGCCAACTCTTTCATGAATAGATCATTTCTCTCTCTATGCCACTACATTTTAAAAAGGAAAATCTGAAGTAGCATTCTCTTGGTGGCAGCTATATTATATGCACCCATTCTTAGATTCAGGGCATGGCTGGCAAGTCCCCAGGAGAATACACTTCCGCATGTGAGACAACAAGATCAGTTCTGTACTTAACCTTGCATCCCAAATTAAGGATGCTTGAGAATTCAGGTAGCAAAGGAAGAGGAAATTACCGTATTTTTTGCTCTATAAGACTCACTTTTTCCCTCCTAAAAATTAAGGGGAAATGTGTGTGCGTCTTATGGAGCGAATGCAGGCTGCACAGCTATCCCAGAAGCCAGAACAGTAAGAGGGATCACTATGAAGCGATTATAATTATTATAATGCACTTGCCACAATCTTACTAAATCATAATTAATGACTGTCCTGGTGCCTTCATTATTCACCTTTAGGTGCCAGACAAAAACTTTCCTCTTCAACTAGGCCTTTGGCTGACTAACATCCTATATCGTCTTAAATTTGTTTGTGGGGATGGGTGTGGGTGAAGGGGGTTACTGGTTTGTTTTGCTTTTATTATGTATTTTGTATTTTTATCTTGTATATTTATGTTATGAAATGTCCTGAGATGCATGGATGAAGGGTGGTGTACAAATTTAATAAATAATAATAATAAACATCAGGAAGCTGCTTCTAAAAGCCAAGTTGTTCATGGTAGAACTTCTTGGATGACGTGTGTAATGCACCTTTCAAAAGTTCTCTGCTTTTCTGTTCAGAAGCAATCAGTGATAAGCTTTATTCTCTTATCTACTATACTAGGTTTTTGGCCAGTGGAATTTCAGTGAAATAAATGGGAATTTGTCAGTATATGGAGAGAATCACAATACAGCTGCTCACCAGCAGGAAAGAACATATTGTGAGTTGCCGGGGGCGGGTGGCGGAAGGGGTTAGGCTGTATGATCCCTTTTAATTTCTTTTGGAGGATCCTTTTGGAGGATCCCATTGAAAGATTTGAAGAGCTGGCTTAACAATCCAGAAGCAAATCAATAAGCCTTTTCCAGCTAGGTATTTTTTATCAGTGCAGAGCGGTAATTGTAAGCTTGTAGTGCTAGCCTTTAAAGCAAAAGCATGGTAATTGCATATTAGAAGCATAATCAATCTGTTTGAATGAAGTTTAAGTGAGGAAAGGAGGATAATCATGTTTTCTCATTGACCCATAACCAGTAGCACTGTGAAAATAGCATTCCTTGATACACAGAATGCCAGACACTAAGGTAAAATAGCTATACCTCATGTAGTTTGGTGCATGTTGTGTATGATACATTACATCAGTGTTCAGGGTACGGCTGTGTGTCTGTCTTCCTGTCCCAGAGCAAGGCTCCATTGCCCTATCTCCTGCACTATTAAGGCCATATTCTGCTACATGCCTTGGAAGTGGAACTGTGTTCCTCAAAGGTCCAACTAGGCCACCAATGTTTCCATCTCGGAATACATAGCACTGGTTTGAAATGGATGCTTACATAAAACAACGTGCACATTAAGGGGGAAAAGGTAGCTGAAAAACAGTAGCTCAGGGAGGAACAGCTACAAAGGACTACGATGGTGGAAATAGCCAAGGAAAGTGGGCATCTCTGAGTCAAAGTTTGGGAGAGCCCCTTCCAACTTTAGGGTTCAGGCCAGACAGCCAGTTGACCAGCCTACCGATTAAAGCATGAAGCCCAATGTGATGTCTTCAAGAATTTGCTTGACTACAATTCCCATCAATCCTGGAAAATTGGCCATGCTGAGAGGGAGTTGTAGCCTACAATACTAGATGGGCACCATGTTGGAAACCTCTGCTTTAGCCTTACTCATATGTGTGGTGTGACTTAAAGTGAAAGACTAGGACCAGGGAGGGTAAGTTCTCTACCTAGCTGTGAATTTCACTTAAGAACTTTTGGTTAACTGACCAATTCTTAGGCTAGCATACATCACAGGATTGTTTTGAGAATTAAGGGGATTGTCTGTACACAGTTGTGAGCTCCTTGGAAGAAGAGAAGAATACAACTGTAAGAAATTTATTTAGATTATTATACCTCCCTGGGCTAATTTGAAGGAGGATAAAAGCTGAAAATATTCAACTCATGAATAATGTTATAAGCTGGGCCTCTTGAATAATGTTATGTATGAATCAAACGATGTTAAATATGTTCCCCGAAGGTGGAGAACTACGTTTTAGCTATGGGATATAATGAAAATTACAAATTAACAGTAGATGAGAAAGCAAGTGTTTGGGAAAAAAATGCATAAAGGATAGAGAGCAAATACTAGCCTCCACTGGAATTACAGATGCTTTGAACAAACAACTTGTCACGTTAGAAGATCAAAAATATATCAAGCCACTAGAAAAGCAATTTCACAGCGTAATGAACAACAAATGCATTGAGGGTGAAGATGTTTAATTAAATGGCAAAACTCTCCAGTTCATCCCTACTAATCTTGCCCAAAGCCTGAGTAATCAACCTTTATGTAAAACATGAAGAAGTGCAGGCCAGCTCCCCCTGAACTCAAGAGAGACACTCCATTGACTACATTGTCCTTTGGTTTACATCCCAAGTGGCATTTGGTAGAGGTCTTGAAACTGCTTTTGTCTCACTGTTCCTGCATTATTCACAAACCACAAAGCTATTTACTCATACATATTTTAATTTGCCTAACCAAGTGGAACTGAACTGTGAAGTTAGATTATTCAAAGCCGAGAGTGCGTCATAATGCTTACTGTGTGCGGATGATACCCTAATAGCGCCCTGCAATTTGCTTTGTTATACATGTGCTTATTTAGACATATCGAATGAAAAAAACCCCCACAACCCACATCATATTCACCACTTCCTGTTAATATCAGTCTTAACTTTCATCTATTGAAATTAATGGGACTTATCTTTGGGTAGATTGAGGCCAACAAGGGAGATTATAGTTCTGGATAGATCCAGTTTACAGTGGTACCTCGGGTTATGAACTTAATTTGTTCCGGAAGTCCGTTCTTAACCCGAGGCACGCATTCCCTACATAGGCCTCCCACGGCCCCGGAAGCGGATTGCGTTCATATCCCAGGGCAAAGTTCACAACCTGGGACACCTACTTCCGGGTTTGTGGCGTTCGTAACCCGAAGCATCCGTAAGCAGGACTGTTCATAACCCGAGGTATGTTAGAATTCCTGCTCCATGATTGCAGTCATGGGATTTTTGTCTATCACATGACGGTGTATGTTTTGACTCCACAAAGTGGGAAGTGACGGAGACAGGATGTTTTTGTTACTGTGTTCTGTGAAGTGGGACTATTGTCCTTTGTTCTTTTTCTCTTTGTTGTCTGCTGTTCTCTTGCTGTAGAGAGAGAGGGAGCCATGTTGCAGTGCTCCGTGTGTGTTTATATGTAAATAAAGTAGATTAGCCAAAATGCTGAGTTGCTGAGGTCTGTCACACGAACTGCACAGACTCTGTGGATCCCTAAGTGTGCCGATGTCTGTTGGCATCGGTCGCTATGATGTTTGGGCTGAAGAAAGCTTTTGAAGCTCCCAAACGAATGACCAGGAGGGAGAGAACATGCTAGTCGGGCATTTGTCTCTGCGAGGGTCCTACTCGAGTGTAGGATGAGCTCCTGACAAGGTACCACTGTACTATCTGGTATTTGGTATTTTTCCAGAGAAGGCTGGTCCATTAATATGAATGAAACACTGCTCCATCAACCAATCCCCACAACTACCCCAAGGAATGTCATTGCTTGTTAGCTTTCTCTTCCTTGGATTCATTATGAAACAGAGCTCTTGAGGATATATATATTTGTTCTCAGAAAGTGTCTTCACAGTTCACTTTCATTCTGCAACCACCTCCCACTAGGGCATGCTATTTTAGTGGGGTGAAACTTATTCTTTTGCACATTTCTTCATTGAGGGGCCATAAAAGTACATTTTTTGGGTGCGAGGAATTCAAATCTACTATTCTTTTTTGGGGGGATGGGACAACATTTAGCTTGGCAGGTCTACATTTGATGAAGAAGCATATAAACTGCTTTTGGAAAACCAAAGAATTTTAATGTTACCTTCTGAAAATATCAGGTAGTGCTAAATAAATAGAAAAATAATGTAACTGCAAATAGCTGGCAATCGTTTTTATGCAATTTTACAAACATTTTACTTACTAAGCAAAACTAAATTATATTAATTTAACCAAAATATATTTTGTATTCCCAAGTCATGTTACAAATTTTTAGCACCCCTCATTTGGGGAATTTGAAAACTGAAAAATTCAACACACCCTACCCACCTTGATCTCTTTAGCAAAAACACCACAAACAGCCTGAAAATTGGGTAAGTGAGGAGAAATAACAGAAACCTTTCTCCCTGCAAATAAATACACCAATTGTTCCCCACCCTCATAACTGCTTCTTGATCTCAAGCTCAAATGACACATTATGTGGGAAATCTGTGACTAGAACACTCAACAAAAATAATAATCCTGAAATACAGTTTTGTGGGCTGCAATTGATCTGGTGCCAGGGTTCAGTGGGTCCTTGGCTTAGTGCTACCAATCACAGAATCACAGGATTGTAAAGTTGGAAGGGACCACAAGGGTCATGTAGTCCAACCCCCTGCAATGCAGGAATCTTTTGCCCAAGGTGGGGCTTAAACCCACGTCCCTGAGACGAAGAGTCTTGTGCTCTACCGTCTCAAGCTATCCCGGCTGTTACCCAAACACTGAGTGATCTCTGCTACCACTCTGGCATTGCTATTGGTCTGGTCACCTGCCACCACTGGTGGGACCCCACTCCTGATGGATAGGCAAACCTGGTTGGTTATAACGTTAAAAATGCATTATAAAAATGTGAAACCAGAGGGCAATGCAGAGCAGCAATCTCTTGACAATGGGAAATTGCATTGAGAGCTATATAACCTTTTAAAAATAGTCTTTAATAGCGTTTTTACAGATCAGTGTAGATCCGGCCCTGTTGTCTTCACTATAGTGGAATGGGAATTGAGTGGCTGTTTGGCTGCAATTGGTGGCAGGCAATCTCCATGTTTTATGTCTCACAATGTAATGTCATGCATCTTGTCAGGGAACTGACATCGGAGCTAGAGGTGGAGGGAAGGCTCTCCAATGATGCTGGAGAAGGGCCCAGCAGGGAGAGAGGCAGCTCAGCAGATGGGGAAGCAATTCAGTGCAACACCAGGAATAAGGAGGGGCAGATGGGGGAATCGGCGAGAGGGCTCCCAGACTCTTCACCGGACACCAGCGGGGAGAGCACTGGTCCTCCGCTACCCACGCCCTCCCTGCGCAGAAGACTTCCGCGCAGAGAAAGTAGGAGGAGACTGGGTGTCAAACAACTTTTATGTTGGAAAAGGTTTAAGAAACGCCCACTGACGGATTCTGCTAGCGACTGAGGCAGCCACGAATTGAAGGGCTGTCCAGACAGAAAGGTTTAACAAGGCAACATAGCCAGGAGAGGCGGAAACTTACGCACGAGCAACCCCATACCATTATACATCTGATAATAATAATAATAATAATAATAATAATAATAATTTATATGCCACCTAGGCTGAACTGTCAGTTTGCATTTCTTACTATAGAAAGTATTGATCTGATGTGTAGAGATCTTTCCTATTCTAGTTAATTCAAGAGGCTTCTGGAAGCTTCTCTGTATGAAAGAAGCAAGCAGAAGGCTTCATGATGTTTGGGTTATTCCTTCAGAGAAGCTGAGTACCGCTGGTTTAAACTGGTTCTGTTATCTCTTTCTGTCAAGGTCATGCTGAACCCAGAAGAAGCCCGGGTTTCACTTTCTGTTTCTATCTCCCTTCCGGTGTGGTGTTCTGTACATAGTATGCTATAATGTTAAGGTTTAGACTTATTATCGGTTATTGTAAGTTTAAGTTAAGTCTGCTGCAACTGGATTTCTTATGGACAGTGCCAATCCTGAATGTATTGGATTTGTGACCATTAAGCTCATTTTCCTTCAGCAGCAGTAAAGCTCTGCTGGATGAAATACAATTGCCACTGGTCTATTTTTTTGGGAATCCTGCAACGTGTTTAAGTTTTTACTCTGTTAACTATACATTGGAATCTACTCTGGATCAATATTGAGAAGAATTTTCACGGCAGGTCATGCGCCCATAATGTTTTTTCTTTTTCCCTGCGCTGATGGGTTCCTGAGGCTGAGCAGAGTGCTGAGGAGGTCTGGCTGTGCGGGATGCATTATGCACTGAAACGTATCTTACTGCCTCACCTTGAATGTGACATGAGCCTCGCCACAAAGGATCCTGGCTTGTACCTAAGTAACATTTCATAACAAAAGCCATGGATGGATAATTCCTGGCCTTGCAGAGTTGACTTAATTAACTGTCATGCCACAGGGTGAAAGCCTGGCCACATGGGCAGCCCATTTATTCAATCTATTTCTAGCTGGGTACTCTTGCCTTTTGCTGGAAAAAAGATGATCTTTAGAAGTTCTCAGAAATGCAAAGAAATACCTGACCTAATTAACACAATCTAGCGGCAACGTGGTCGCATCCAGGCTGACAGGGAATGAACTTCCCTTTCTTGAGAAATGAAAAAGGATATTCAATTACGGTGGGGCATGCTTGTCAGCGGATAATCATTTGTTCCTAATGAGCGGTCATCTGCCGATTTAAGGCTGTTACTTGTATTTTGAGATGGCGTTGGGTTCTGAAATTAATTAGCCACCAGGGATGTGCTGGGATTGTCACCGCCACGCACACTAGGGTCTTCCCCCGGCCATGGCAAGAAAACTCCCTCATGGCTCGGAGCAAAGGCAAATCACACACGCAGTCTTGGGCCACGTGCAGAGTTCCAGCTGAACCAAGCTTTTCTGCAAGTGTGTGTTGAGGATCACTGGTAGTGGTCCCCAGCTCACCGTTTGAGATACACCACATCTGAGGGTGGGGTAGGGATATCAGTGGTGGCTGGCAGCTGCATGCCTTACTGGGGTGGGTCAGAACCAGTGGCAGCATAAGGGAGAATTTGTAGGGGGGGCAGTATTAGGACAGGTGTCAGCCCTTGTATAATCTGCTGAGGTGTATCAGCTCTGGCAGTTCCTGAGTAGGCCTGGGATGCCTGCATTTAGAAATTCTTCCGCGCTGCACCTGTAGGCAAATGGATTAGTCCTTGTAAGCAAATTTCACTGAAAAATAATTTTAAAAATCAATCACTGTATAGTTCGTACCCCAAGTGCTTTCAGTTTCTGGATTGCGTATTTAGAGGCAATGAATGTGCATTCGGAGTACTTCCACAACACTTAAGATTTTGACATCTGCCTTCACTCGTGGGTTCTGTAGTGGTTCTCCCTGAAAAATATCTCTCTCCTCATGTTCATTTGGAAATGCTCCCAAATCAATTCATTCTTCCCCTCCATATCTTTCTTCATTCCTCTGTATCAGGCACCCCCCAACTCCAGATGTTTTGGGACTACAATTACCATCATCCCTGACCACTGGCCCTGTCAGCTAGGGATGATGGGAGTTGTAGTCCCAAAACATCTGGAGGGCCGAGTTTGGGGATGCCTGCTCTGTATTTTACCCAAGAAAACCTTCTTCATCAAAGCCTATACTCTGTGCACTCATCCACTGAAGGGCTGCAATAAGTAGAATTGTTCAGCAATTTTTTTTTAAAGCTAAGGTATTGCCATTCCTTCACACACTTTTGCTGCCCCTGATGACGTTAGAGAGAACCACAAGAAACAGTCCACCTTTCTTACATGATTCCTCTATACAGCTGTTATGTGTCACTCCACCAACCTATTAATCTGATGGTGGTTATACAGTGTTGTTCACACTGACCATTTCCAGGAAGCGCACCTTTTCCTTACATAACAGCCAGCATGGCTGACTTACTTTTAGCAGATGCTGGCTCCCTGCTGGAAAATACGCTGCATTTCATGCTGATTCAGCTTGGCAGGTGTGATAATCAGCCTCCAGGATCACAGACTAGACTATTCAGAGACAGAAATTCTCCAGTAGCGGGAAGTCTAGGAAGGAGCCTAGCCTGAGGAAAAGCTGGCTTGCAATTTCTTCTCTAGACGAAATATTTTCTCGCGGAGATATTTTCTCCCTCCAGCTTGGGGCTGAAGAATTGTAGCAATATGTCTGAGTCAGACAGTAACACTCTCTCTCTCTTTTTTTAAAGGTCTCTGATCTCCACACATGCACTTCCTTCCGTGGTCCAAGCATCAAGATTTCCTGCTGATGTGAGGAGAACGCGTTACTAAAAGGTAAAGGTAAAGGACCCTGGACGGTTAAGTCCAGTCACAGGCGACAATGGGGTTGTGGCGCTCATCTTGCTTCCAGGCTGAGGGAGTCGACGTTTGTCCACAGACAGCTTTCCAGGTCATGTGGCCAGCATGACTAAACCACTTCTGGTGCAATGGAACACTGTGACGGAAACAAGAGCGCACGGAAACCTTCCCTCCACAGTCGTACCTATTTATCTACTTGCACTGGCGTGCTTTCAAACTGCTAGATTGGCAGGAGCAACGGGAGCTCACTCCGTCATGGGGATTCAAACCGCCGACCTTCTGATCGGCAAGCCCAAGAGGCTCAGTAGTTTAGACCAAAGTGCCACCCACATCCCAAACTGGTTGCTAATCTGTTTTCTAATCTACCTTGCAAAAAAGCAGACGGTAAGACGTTAAATGTTGCGAGGCAAAGAGCTCTGCGTAGGTGGGGATCGTAAAGCTGGTGTAAATATGGAGTGTCCTGGCCAAACGAGAGTGGAATTTCCAGCCCAAATGGGAAAGGTTTTATTGGCAGCACTGCAAAGGGTTTGGAATTCAATCTCTAGGATTCTGCACTTGATTGTCTGGAATGCTTCCAACTGCGGGAGCAGAAGCAGCGACTTGAGTGATAGGCCACAGGTTCTGATTTTGCTCTCGGACTTCCGGGGTGGCGCCTCCGGAAAATGGCGGAATTCCCTTCGAACTGAAGGGAACCCGCTGCACGGAGGCTTGGGTCCTGCCGCTACGGCGCAGCGGGGACCCTCAAAAACCACAGGCGGAAGAAGCCTGTGGGCGTGGGACTCGGCGGGCACCGAGAGCGCTCTCTCCTTGTACAGGAGCCCGGTAACGGGCTCCGGAGTGGGAGGTGCGTGGTGCTGTGAGTCGACTGCTTCCTCCGTGCAGCAAAGCCGCACTGCCGTTTTCGGAGAGCGCTGCCTTTTCCTGGACAATTTGGCATCTAAAACATCTATCCGTGAGTACCTGATCCTGGAAGAGCTGAACTACTTTTAAGATTGGTGAATAAATAAATAACATTGGACTTGAACTTGAAATTGAATTTAATTGGGACTCGGAACGGAAAGGTCTAAACAGGAAGTCGCCTTCCGTTCTTTTGTTACGTGAAGAAAGCAAAGACAAATTATACTAAAGCCTGAAAACTAAATTCTGAGAGAACTAAAATTCAACATCTAAGATTTCTGAACCCCCTCTTTGATTGCAGGAGAAGAAGGGGGTTGTTTTGATCTTTTCAACCCTGCGGAAGTGAGTTTAAAATAAAGTAATTTTCCACCGCCCTGAACCAGGAGCGGGCTGTCAGAACTGACGTTTTGAAGCTTATCCAGCTCGACAGATAGTTAAAAGAAGGGTAACATTTTGATTCTACTGTTGCCTCTTGAATTTGAAAGGGGAATTTTGGATAAAGTGTTTCTGGAAAAAGAAAGATTGTTACTGTTGTTTTTCCCCTCTTAAAAAATAATAATAATAATAAAAAGGGTTTTCCATCTAGTGGAACTGAGTGAAATTGCAATGCAGAGAGTTTAAAAGAGAAGGACCATTCTCGTGGGAAAGAATTTTTTCTGACCTTGAAGGACAATGCTTGTACAAAGGCTTGAACAAGTGTTCCTGGAAGGTTTTGCAAAATTAAGTGCCCAGCTGGACCAGATGCGTCAGGAGTCGACCTTGATGATGACGGAAGTCACCAGAGCACAGCAGCAAACAAATGAAATTCAGTTAAAGTCTATACAAGTATATGAACCTGCTGTAGCGACGGAGGCTTCAGAGATGGAGGGACTTATGGATGGGCAAGATCAGCCTTTGAACTTGATAAATGAACTTGGGACAAACCTGATTCGGAAAGATGAAATGTGGTCAGATTTGGAAATGGGGGGATGGATTGACACCCCTCTATATGGTTATTTGGACTTTCCGAGTCTAGGGATGGGCCATCAGAGGATTGGAGAAGTCGAAGTCTCCAAGTTTTCTGGAAATTGGAAGTGGTATTATCTGCTGTCTGGCTTGGGTAATGGGTTTGGGATGGACTTGCTGCAAAGAGTCAAAAGCATCTTTTTGCTGGAGTATCCACGACTGAAAGGGAAATATCAACAAGAGTGGCGAAAGGGGCAAGAAAGAGACTTGAGGGCCTCGGACACGAGACAACCAGGTTAAGGAGCCGGATTATTGAGGTTAAAAGGACTGACAATCCCGGGACCAGGGGAGGGGAGGCTGGAAGTTGACTGGACTGAATCTGACTTATTATTTTCTTTTTCTTATTTTTTAATATTGGGAATGTTTATAAATGTTTGAAGGATGTTGAATGAAATTATATGACTTAAGTAAGAATCGGTAAATGGTTTGTAAAAAGGTAATGATGTAAGAATTTGCTAAATATGGAATATAAGCTTTGAGTTTTAAAGTTTTTATATGACAAGAGGGAAAATAGAACAAGGAAACGCAATGATAGATTATTATGAAAAAACAGAAAGGATTTGCTGTAAAAATTAAACACTAAGAAACAAGAGAGGGGGGAGGAGGAAGTCTAGAAAGGAAGTTAATGGAGATCGTAAAGGATTTTATATTTCTGTTTTTCTGTTTTTCTTTTTTTCTTTTTTGCGGCTGGGTTTTTTCTTCTTTATTATTTCTGTATTATTTTTGTTTTTGTTTTTTTTCTTCTTTGTATGTTCAAACTTTTTTGGTAATTTTTGTTGTTATTTGTTATTTTTTGAAAATTTAATAAATATCAATTTTAAAAAAAAAAAAAAAAGGTTCTGATTTTGCTCTCAATGCAAGCTAGCTGTTTGGAGTGGTGGGATTCTGCCAGCATGTGGAAAGTCAAAGAAGACGGATCGGACATGAAATGTAGGCGGAGACAGAATCTTAAAGCGGTGAGCCACGCTTTGGTTCCCAGCAGCCTTTGTCCAGTTTCCGGTCACATGGCTGCATATGGCATAGAATTTGGCAGCCCCAGAATTTTGCGCATAAATTTGGACCGGATGCGTTCCAGCGGTTGGTCAACTGCACCAATCCATAACGGAATGACCCATAGGAGTTTGGGGGCTACTTTGGTGTTAAAGACCTGGAACCAATTGATTTCCTCTGTTTAAGAAGAAACAGGCGATAGCCAGAGCTAGAGTATATCTGCTCTGTTAAATGCAAGCTTACAAATCCAGTCAAAACAAGAATTTGAACATATTGTTATTATAATAATAAAAATAATATTAATAATTTATTATTTGTACCCCGCCCATCTGGCTGGGTTTCCCCAGCCACTCTGGGCGGCTTCCACAAAGACCAAAAATACACTAATGTCACACATTAAAAGCTTCCCTAAACAGGGCTGCCTTAAGATGTCTTCTGAATGTCAGGTAGTTGTTTATCTCTTTGACATCTGGTGGGAGGGTGTTCCACAGGGCGGGCGCCACTACCAAGAAGGCCCTCTGCCTGGTTCCCTGTAGCTTTGCATCTCGCAATGAGGAAACCACCAGAAGGTCCTCGGCGTTGGACCTCAGCGTCCGGGCAGAACGATGGGGGTGGAGATGCTCCTTCAGGTATACTGGGCCGAGGCCGTTTAGGACTTTAAAGGTCAACGCCAACACTTTGAATTGTGCTCGGAAACGTACTGGGAGCCAATGTAGGTCTTTCAAGACTGGTGTTATGTGGTCTTGGCGGCCGCCCCCAGTCACCAGTCTAGCTGCCGCATTCTGGATTAGTTGTAGTTTCCGGGTCACCTTCAAAGGTAGCCCCACGTAGAGCGCATTGCAGTAGTCCAAGCGGGAGATAACTAGAGCATACACCACTCTGGCGAGACAGTCCGCGGGCAGGTAGGGTCTCAGCCTGCGTACCAGGTGGAGCTGGTAGAGAGCTGCCCTGGATACAGAATTGACCAGTGCCTCCATGAACAGCTGTGAGTCCAAAATGACTCCCAATATTAATACATTCCTAGCTGCATTGTACTTTTGGCATCACCCATGTAATCCTGCTTTGCAGCATAAATGGCAAAGGCTGGAGACAGTGGAGTGGCAAAGAGCTGCATTAACTCCTTATTCTATCGTTTTGCTAGAGGCTCCAGACCCAGATGTGCGTCTGCTTTGCCCCTGTGCAAATGGCATCTGCTCTGGTCCTTGCGTATCAGCTGTGCCTCCAAGGAATGTTAATAATCTGGCTGTCATACAGATGCCTTTTGAAACTGCGATACTCTGCGTCTATCATACTCCAGGCCATTTAGCCTTCCTTCCCCCTTAACGAAAACGCCATTTTAATTGGACGCTGATTATTTATGATTAATGCGATAACAGGTTTGAATATAACCTTCAGATATATTCATGCACCAAAGAACTTCCATGGCAAGCACACGTTTTCAAAATCAGACATTTATCATATAATTATTGAGGACTTGAAGTGCCTAGCTTGCATCCATGTCAGTGCTTTATGTATATTTTGTTATAATTTCCAGAACGGTAGCGGCAGCCAGAGCAGGAAAGGGCCTTGTGGCATTTTAAAAATGTATTATGACATAAGCTTTCATGGACATGAATGTATTTCATTGGATGCATGCAATGTAATCCAAAGTTGACAGGTAATATCCACATGGACATAAAGGCAAGGAAACCTATAGGACCTGAATGGGAGTTGAATGCAAAAAGGTGCATTCTGTCAATTTTAGTTTCCCATTTTTTCAATCTTAAGTTTAGTTCCCCATGTTTGCATCAGTTTGCATTTTTTTTAAAAACAAAACAAAACCCTGGTGAAAACTCATCAGTGGATTTCTCCTAATCTACATATCTTCGTATGCAACATTGTCTATTAAGCACATTTGCACAAAGCAATTCCCCTCAGTAAAATGCATTTTTGTATTCTTTTCACTAATATGTGCATGTTTATACGCACTTTAGGACATAGATTTTTGTACACATTACTTGGCATTGCAAAATTCAGAGGAGTGTGAATTGCAAAGGATGGCTCGGTTTCGACTTGCATATTGTGTCTGAAGGCGTGAGTCAGGTAGGATCACCTTTAAATCTCCTTTTCTTTAATAATAATAATAATAATACAATAATGAAATAAATAGTTAACAATTTGCTGCCCTTTTATGACATATAAAACCAGCTGTTTAAGATGGCGGGGCTGCTTGGCTGGGTTGGCGCTTTCTATCGACTGCTGCAGAATTATCCCTCTGGTTGGCAATATTCATTGAGAGATAGCTGTGAAGTACTTGCCCTGGTACTTTACAGAACAACAAAGGCAGGTGAATTACATCATACCTTTTATGGCATCAGTTAGGTGTTCAAAGAAACTGTAGGCTGGAATTCCTCAACAGATCTATTCAGGTAACAATTCTGAGTGGAAAGACCTCTGAAATCACCCTTTTGCAGTAAACAAATCTCCCGAAGCAGATTCTAGAGTACCTTTAACACAATGTCCTTGTCCAGGGTGCTGAACAAAGACAAGTTGCCATGTGAACCATTGCGTTTCGTCAAGAAGGACAGAGGCTGTTTAGCAGGTACAGATTTTTGCAGGATAGTCACAGAAAATGTACTTCAATGGCATTTGTGCATTAAATAAGGAGCTCCACAAATCAGTTACCTATTACAATGGTAGCTCGGATTACATACGCTTCAGGTTACATACGCTTCGGGTTACAGACTCCGCTAACCCAGAAATAGTGCTTCAGGTTAAGAACTTTGCTTCAGGATGAGAACAGAAATCGGGCTCTGGTAGCGCGGCGGCAGCAGGAGGCCCCATTAGCTAAAGTGGTGCTTCTGGTTAAGAACAGTTTCAGGTTAAGAACAGACCTCCGGAACGAATTAAGTACTTAACCCAAGGTACCACTGCACATAACTTTCCCCCCTCTGTAGTCTCTTCTGAATGAGGTGGCGACTCCTGTATAACTTACATTTTCTGCTTAAAGAAGCAACAAAGCCCTGGGTGGAATTCAGTGTTGAACGATGATGGATGTTCCAACTGCACAAGCATTTCAACTTGCCAGATGAAATGATCGCCCCTCTCCTCTCTCCATGCATTATTCTGGGGGTTCTCCGGATCTTCTCCAGACCCAATTGCAAGGGGCATGTGAGGGGAGGAAAGCTCCACTATGCAAGCAGTAGTCCTTGCTCAGAGCTTCCACTGATAGGGCTCGGTAGGGGAATCCAGCGCCCTTGGTTTCATTTCCTCAGTGCACTTTTGCTAAAGAAAACAAGAGTCGCATTCATTCTTCCCATTGAGGTTGGCAGGAGGTTTCCCAATTTTTTTATCTCATCCCTTGACTCGGCTATTTACATTTTTCCCTTCAGATTTATGAAATGATGTTTCTGGAATAGACCAGTGTAGGTCATGTGGGTCTGTTCTGTTCATTCCAATCTCCCAAGGCTTTAGTTAATGCTTTCATTTGTGGCGCTTTCATCTTATTTTCCACCCTAGTATTCATTTTACCCATTACATCAAAGAGAGGGTCTAATGAGGTTCTGACTGATTCATCCAACTGTTGTCTTTTGGCCACTAATGACAGCAACTCTAAAGAAAATCTTGATGAGGTTTGCTATGTGAAAAATAGAAGCTTTGAGCTTAAAAATATATATAATCCTATGTGCTTCATTTTAATTTTGGTTCCTAGGCAACTTTCTTCATTCTGACAGCTGCAGCGAGCTGGATAGTGCCTCAGGCCAAGGATAGAATCCTATTTTAGTTAAAGCCCGAGCAAACATATTTCTGAAATTGGCCCATTTTGTGGAAGATTATCTTTCTGCTTTCTCCATCAAAAACTGAAAAGAAAACAGAATAAGATTTGGCATCCCAATTTTTATTGTAATTCAGGCTTAGTATTTTATCTTTGGTTGGTTTCTGAGGAAACTGGGTAAGGCCCAGCTGTTTAGGTATTTGAAACACACAGTCTCTTGCCTCTGATGAGGTGGGCTCTGGTTCACAACTGCTTACGTTAAAAAACATATTTAATATGCCACAAGAATCTCTGTGGGTTTTGCTGCAATGTGGGTTTTGCTGCAATAGATGGAGGCTCAAAGCTGACAGCTAGCCAGAAGCCAGCTGAGGGGGTAAGGAGCTCAGGAACATGTCCTCTGCTGGTGGAGAGAAACTCCATCCATGGAATAACACCCATATTTCTGGAGGAGCCTCCCATTTGCCCAAGGAAAGCTCTGCAGGTGCAGATGGTGGTGGAGGATCCAAGGCCCACCTTACACTTACAAAATACAAAAAGGGGAGATGGGCCACGACAATACCAATCCTGAAGCTGGTGTAGTTCTTTTTTATAATATTTTTTAATTAATTTTAACATATAAATTATAAAATGTACCACAAAACTTATCACTTACACAATCTTTTTAGACTTCCATCAGCACCTCTGATGATCCACCGTTTTAACCACTTCTTATGCATTTCTTAACTTTATATTGCCTTTACATCTCTTAACAAATCATCCCCCCCTTGTCCATTTTTACAATACTTCTAATAATACTCCTCACAAAACGTCTTGCAACCCTACAAACGTCGTCTGTTCTTCACAATTACTTTTCATATAGTCCGTAAATTTACTCCAGTCTTCCGTGAATTTCTGGTCTCGCCGATTTTGAATCCTTCCTGTTAGTTTATCTAATTCTGCATAGTCCATTAACTTCATCCTCCATTCTTCAATCGTCGGTAACTCTTCTTGCTTCCATTTTTGGGCCAATAATATTCTTGCTGCTGTTATTGCATATAAAAAGAGCTTACATTCCTTTCTATTTATGTCACTCCCCACAATGCCCAATAGAAATGCTTCTGGTTTCTTTATAAATGTATATATCAACATTTTTTTCAACTCATTATATATCATCTCCCAGAAGCATTTCACCTTTTTACATTCCCACCACATGTGATAAAATGTTCCCTCTTTTTCTGAAGCTGGAGTAGTTCATACCCCCCCCCCAGTGGAATACTGTGTCCCATTCTGAGTGCCACAGTTTAAGAAGGATGTTGACAAGCTGGAACGTGTGCATAGGAGGGTGACCAAGATGACCAAGGGTCTGGAAACCAAGTCTTATGAGGAACGGTTGAGGGAGCTGGACGTGTTTAGCCTGGAAAAGAGGAGAGTGAGAGGAGATCTGACAGCCATCTTCAAATCTCTCAAGGGCTGTCGCATGGATGATGGAGCAAGCTTGTTTTCTCCTGCTCCAGAGGGTCAGACT